CGCAGGTATTTAGCGGCTTTTTCCCCACTTTTGTCCTGGCCGGAGGGCGGGGTGTCCCCAGGGGACCTGCCGGGCACGGGGGCATCGCGCCGGCCTCTTTTTCCCCGGGAAAATGGGCGAAAACCAGCCCCGACGATCATTTGAGTTACACTTTGCTGTAACTGCCGTCTGCCCCTGGCCTGTCCCATGCCGTTTTGGAGAAAAAAAAATCATTAATTTCGCCTGAACGTCTCTGGGCTTAATGCTCTGGTAGTTTTAACCTGTAAGCAGTGGATGTAAAGCTTCATATCGTGGTTTGGCTACGAGGGTACCTGACCTGAGTGAGAGTGGGGAACCTGGGGGCACCTGGGTGTGCGTGGGGCTCTGCAGAGCTGCTGGCACCCCAACAGGGCCTCCAGCCGCACACACAGACCGAAGGGGGTAAGTTGGGGACGAGCCCAGTGTGCGGTTCCCCACAGCAGCCCTGCTGCTTTGGCCTCCTCCTTCAGCCTCCGAGTCTTGGGGCAAGTTTAATGCATTTTTCTGAGCTCTGTTTTTGCAGCTACAAACCTGGTATGGCTTTAGTCTTTCAGGGCTGCTTTAGGCATAGTTTTACTTTAAGTCTTTTGAGGTCCTCAGGCTGCTTTTAACAGCACATGAATTTCTTTAAAAAAAAAAAAAAGCATACCATAGAAGCTAAAAATAGGAGATAATAGTTTTTATCTAACCACAACTTTGTGCATTGCATAGAAAAAGCTTCCAACAGGACATAAGGATGAAGCGGTTCATGGCCATGTTAAACAGGAATAAAAACAAGGATCCCCCACCCACCAGGCTGCTGGATCTAGCAGGACAGCTTTGCCAGGACCTTCAGAGCTCATCTGCTAGTCTGGAGAAGCTGGTTGGGACCATGATGGGATGCAAACACAAGATGTATTTTCTCACTAACATCCACGTTGTCCGAGCTTGTGTGTTTGTTCATATCCGTAATGGGCAGCATGACACAGCCTGCAGACTCCTGGAGGTAGGGATGTGTTCTTTGTTTCTTCATGGAGACAAAAAGCAGTATTTAAAAAATAGTAGCTAAAGGTGTTAGTGCAGAGGTACCCAAACTGCAGAATGTGGAGCGTTTCCAGCTGGCATAGGGCAGTGGAAGGTGAGATGTGCGCATTGATTGACCTGAAACACAGGACAAAGCCTTTGCTACAGGCAGTTTACTATTGATCAGTCAAAAGGAGGAAGGTAATTGGGTGATCATGGGGTTAGTAGTCGTTTGTGAAAGCAGGATTTTTGTTCTCTAGTTTGCTGGTTCTTGGAGTTTTTCACAGACTTAGGGCTTAGGACATAAAAGTCTTGGGGAAGCCAAGTTTAGAGGGCTTGCCATGATGGGAAGATATGAGGAAGGCTGGATGGCAGCACTCAAGGTGAGGACTTTTGGCCTCTAGATTTGGTAATGTAGCCCTCTTCACCAGAGGAAGAGAATTCCTTCCTTCCTTTTAGGCAGGCAAGTCCCTGTGTACATTAGAGAGGGTACATAGCTATATACTTGGATAATGCTACTAGCTTTGTCAAACCAGTAGGAATCTCTGAGTAAGTTTCTCGTTGTTGAGGGTTTTCTCCTTTATGGGAAGCCTGACTGACTACCTGGAAAGGCTTTGCTCACGTACTATTCTGTTTTAGTATTGCAAGGCAGAAGAGAAGGAGGAGCTGGTGCAACTTTGGCACGAGATTCACTACCGGAGGTTTATGGAGAAACACCACATGGATTTTCTGACACCACTGCAGAAATTCCGTTGCAGGAAGAGGTACCGTAGCGTGGGAGAACCAAATTTTTTTTTCCTCTGCTGTAGTTAGCAGTTGCAGGAGGGTAGAGATGCAGAGGCTGTTTTTGCATCTCGAGATGGCTGCTGCTTGGAGCTAGGTTTTTCTTAGCATTTTGACCACTTGTGGCAATGTGAGAAAATTCCCATAAATGTGAATTAATCTTTCTGGGTCCTTTTTAATCCTGTTTTCTCCTGTGTACAGGAATCCTCCACCTATTTCGCTTTGTCCTGAAGGTTTGAAAAATCGAAACTATTCAGATGAAGTACGCCAGCAACTGCTCAGGTTTGCTGCAGAGGTGACAACAAATCCAACCAAGAAACAGCGGGTAGGGATATATGCTACTTCCAATCATGTCTCCTTGTCCCAGAAAAGCAGAACTCTGCGATGAGGGTCTCTTAACTGGTTTCATTCTAAATCCTTGTTTTCAGAAGCCCCAGTGTGGCTGGGATT